CATTCGACTGCGTTGGAGGATGGACAAAGTCCAAGAAAACTAGCTCATGACGGAACACCTTGTTCCTGCTGCTTAAATTTCAAACGGCTATCGGTAGAAGGGCTTCGCCTCAAAGTCGAAACTGCGTTGAGAAGGTGTACACAAAAGAGGTAAATGCTGCTGGTCGACACTGTGAAACAATGTACGGGTTGCGTACCAACACATGCTTGAAGACGCACATCGAGACTGGGCGGCATAAAATCATCAGGTGTTCGATGCCTTTGGAGGAATAGAGAAATTTCACAGCTGAAGCTGAATACCAGTCTTTGTGTAACTAAGTAATGACATCATTTCTGCGTAACGTACGCCTGTTCACTCTGTCGTCCCTGTACACAATGTTGTCAGCCCGTTGTTCATATCAAAGTTCAGTTATATTCCTAGCGTATGACAACAGCCCTGTGGTTCGGCCCGTTTCCTTGCAACAGCTATAGCAAGCTTGACAGGTTTCTATGCAGGGAGCAACAGATAATCAATATCATGGTATGGAGAGTAAAGCTGCAATACGTTTGCGCCATTTCCGAAGTCTTCCTCTGCCAATTTTCGATATTTGCAGATGATTGACGATTCTGTTTGGCAGCCGCATTTCCCCCAGACGCTACGAACATAGTTCGTCTCCATTCTTGAGTAGATAAAACAGTTAAAGACCATGCTTCTACATACTTTTAGGCAAGCCGATATCCTACATTAAGTATATGGAAAATGTTACGGAAAAAGCTATGCTATAAATACAGATCAAAAACTAGAGGAATAATGCGTAGCGGCTTTCATAGAGCTAGATAAGCTCTAACTACATGTAATGCAGCAAAGCACAGAACTGACCGCACGGCGAACAAATGAGGTGACAATTAAGATATGTCTCAGTGGTTGTCTTTGCCGGTCCTGTCTTCAGAGCTAGGTAAGTTTGAAGAGATACTCTGAAGTAGCTGCCAGGCTAATAGACACGGCTGAAGAACATTGTCCTGGGCACAATCAATATATTTAAAGATAACGCCTTTCGGCTGAAAAACGATGTTTCAAAGAACATTTACCACCATTGGCAGGAAAAATCATATCACTCAAAGTTGCGATACATCAGCACCTGACTCAAACATATTGCGAGATTTGCGCGCGCCACACAAAACAGGAATTCCTTGATATGCAAATCTTTCTAAAACTATTTCGGAAAATCATTCCGCTCGAATAATCTGTCAGAGAACTTTGGCCACACAATTTTCCTGTTAGAAATTGCACGGAAGACATTTTATCCGTGATTTATTTGACTTATATTTTGGTTAATCATTCACTAGGGAACAGCTTCAAACATGATTCGCCATTACTCGTTTATTATACATATTACGCCTTGTTTGCTGTTTCTTTATTGCATGCAATTCATTTTGAACGCATTGAATCTTTAGGCAGTAGATTACCCAACTCTTGAAAACAGAAGCAATGTACTTGGTTTTTACACTCAACGAAGAATTCACAATTCCTGTTTATTTTTCAATCCTGTCGTTGCCATTTGTTTCGTAATGAACTTAAAACGTGTTACACTTTTATGCTAATTGTTCAGAAAAACAGAAAACTTTATTTCATTGCAGTTTCAGTGCAGCAGTGACTTATCTTCACAGAATTCCACGCATGCATGTTAAAAGAGTTTATATTTATTCAGCTACATGGTCAAAATCATAAAAATGCATCATTATAAAGCTTTGAATGCTCGCTTTTGGTAAGTGTTTGCTAGGCGGTATGTGCGCCTAATTTTATTTATTTCAGTCCTTTCTCGCAAAGGAGGGCAATATAAGGAAGCCAGTGCTAATATATTCTAGTCAAAATCAGCGCCATATAAGTCGGCTAGTAATTTTTACGTTATCAGTGACGCTCCGATTCAATGCTGGTGTTGCGACTTCCATCCTATTTGGCAATTCTAATTCTAAATGTGTTATTCCATACGATAAATGGTCCACTTTCGTATACATTTGCTGTTCTTTGATTACGTATATCGCCAGTTGTACAACGGCACCTTATAACGAGCTTAATGATCTGCATTGCCTGTCAATCAAATACCATAATTTAAAACATTCGGCGTTTATTGTCGCTGCTGATTGCTTTGTCGCATCGAGATGTACAACCAGGAGAAAATTAAGGTTTTCGTGCGCTGCAGACCTTTGATCCAAAGGTAAGAGATTGAAATGGTATTTAAGTAAGCGATTAAGTTTATTTGTTTAAGGGAAATTGAAGCTTCTTGCGAAAAACAGTGGAAATGTGTTGGTAAGACCATCCAACGCCGAATTGCCAGTGGCGTCGCGAGGCAGCCCAGTCACTGCGCATATTCTTTCGGTTAGTATCATTGCCTGTTATTCGTAAATCATTGTCGAAGGTTGAACTTCACTACGAAAGTGCTTATAAGGCGTACATTCGTCATGGTGAAGGATTCTCATGAAAAGCACAGGGATATGCTTCTGTTTCATCTGACATGTTTTGTTTTTGATGTATTTTATTTGAAATTTACGATTTTTATTGTTTTTGATCTTTACGTTTTTTTTGAAGGCAATATTTACAAATTAGAATAAAAGCTCTTTCGGTTTGGTTTTTTGAGAGACATGGCCAAATACCTCCTAGCGGTTACCAGCATTGTCGATGGTGAGAACTCCTCAGATGTGAGGGTTGGTTGTGAAATGGGCAAGGAATCTGATTATTGCGCCTTAATGGCCAATGTGACAACAGTGCTAAAACATGACCATTCTGCCACGGCTGCGATTGGTTCAAAATTATATTGAAGCGAAAACGTGACGATGACGCTATAACAAGGCAAGCACATGTTGCCATTCAATAGATAAACTGAGAAATCCAAAGAAAGCCGTAACCGATCCCATTCTTTGTCGATATGACCATTTCCTTCTCCTGAAGTCATTAGTTTGCGTCATTCATTAAATCGCTAATCTTGTTCCTTATTTATCATTTGTTTTAATGTGTGGCTGACTCGTTAGATATAGCTTTTTTAAAGTTCTGTGTATACTTTGCTTTGTTTTAATTGAATCGTTATTAACTTCTTATTTAATTTGCTCATTTCAGTTTTTCAGTCATGCAGAAAAATATGGTAACTTATGATATTTTCAAGCAGGAAACTTTGACGTTTGAAATAAAACTTAAAAACGTTCTCGATTCTGAGCCAAAAAATGAATGTACCTTGAATTTCCTTATTCCTCGTTCGAGTGGAGTTGAACAAACAGAAACGCATCAGACATCTTTTAATGCTCCTGTAGAGGTTTTTTATCGACAAGAAGTAACTTCATCAGAATTGCACTTAGTAATACATGACATCAAAGCTAAGCATTTTACTTGAAAATGATGTGGGGGGGGTGGAAAGATTAGCTTGCTACAAATATTCTACGCATTATTATTAGTCATTCATTCTCTTATCAGTTCACAAACCTTTTAGTTGCCTCAACTTATCATTCAACTCATCGATGAATTTCCCGACCCAATTGCGATTTTTACTGAAGTACGTGTGTTATTCATTGCACATTTATTGATTATACGCGATAACAAAACGGGTATCGTTTTTGTTAACATGTGTAGGCTACCATTGTCTTTAGAAATTACAAAAGGTCACTGCAATTCTTAAATAAATTTACTTTTGAAACCATATTCTGTGTGAGGTGAACTAGTGATCTGCATAGTTGTTGTGTTCCTCTATTCCAAGTGCTCTTCTTTGTGAACGTTTAGATTCTTATCATCGTCATCGCTCTGTTTTAATCCACTGCCGAATGAAAACCTCTGCAAGACTTTCTCGTAAACTTATATTTTCTGCCATTTCTATCCATCTTGATTCAGCGAGGTTTTTCAGCTCATCCTGTCACTTATATGAAGGCCTTTTTACATTTTCTTTATTGCCTCTGAGAATCGAGTCTAATTTTTCTGGATCAGCGATAGTCTGTACTTCTTGCAACTTGTAGTGCCCATTGCCACTTTAACTGTACTGGGGCAGTGACATCGCAGACATGTGTTATGTGCTCATGCTCATTCATTCGTCTTCCTATTTTTTCTTCTCATTGCAAACACAATTTTTGATGCTGCTTTGCGTTGTCTTCAGCTTATGAATAGCTTTCAAGCTTAGGTTCCAGTTTCGTACCCATAGGTTAGCATTGGAAGCACACACTGATCGAAAACCTTTCGTTTAATATGAACCTTCCGTTTAATATGAACCTTTCGTTTAATATGAACCTTCCGTTTCATATTAGAAGAGCATATTCACGGATAAGAACATTTTCAATCTTCTGAAGGTGTTTCATGACATTTTATTCTTCTGTTAATTTCACATAGTCGATTCTCCTTTGCAGAGATGAGTTCCCAGATAGACTTAGTTTTGCATATCTTCAAGCATAGGTCCGTTGACTTAAACAGGTCATGTGGTCACGTGCTTCATGAGCATAACCTAATCTTCTTCTGATTCATTTTCAGTCCCACTCTCTTGCTGGCACAGTTCACCTGTTGGATTCTTCTTTAAAGTTCCTTTGCTTACCTTCAGAGGATCGGAACACCATTTGCCAACCGCATATGGCTTAAGTAGTGCCAGTTTATGTTCAGTGCCTGGTCTTCCCAACGGAGTGCCTTGAAAGCTCAACAAGGGTTGTTTCAACGCTGCTGATATTGCATCAACCTGTCTAACGCGCCTTTCCATCTTGAACTTGGTTTTGCTTTTGTAAAGGTCCACAGTATCAGGTGAATTCTTTTAAATGATGGCGATAGGGTTTATATACCTTCCCTCAATTACCTGGCCCCTCAAAAGAATCAGAATCAGTACAGGACGGATGTGTAATGAGTCGAAAGCCTAGAAATCGAAAAACCGCAGACAAAGACGAACCTGAAACTCGTTGCTTATTAGAATTGTTTCTTGTACTACCTGAAAATTAGGAATCCTGCGGGCTTTTTTAGTTGTGCAAACTTAATTGTTGAAGTACGTTCGTCAGTACACATTGTTAAAGATTGACAAGACATTGATTGGTCTGTGATTCTTCAAATCATTTCTGTCTCCTGTTTTATGAAGCAAAATCGCGGATGCTATAGTCCGACCGTCTGCAACTTTCCGTTCATCGAGACAGTGTGAGAACGGGCGCGCAAATATTTTTGTCAAAGCTACAACTTCTGATTCCATGAGTTACACCGTAATCCTGTTTTCGCTAGGTGCTTTTGGAGAGATATCTGAAAATTCGTCAACTTAATTTGTATCTTGAGGTTCTTTATGATCCCCTGTGATGTTGTTGTTGCTTTCTATGGAAATTCTTTCTACTTTCCTCTAATTTTACAGTATTTCTAATTTCTCCTTGACGATAGTCCGGTCTTCTGCTTTAAGAGCCAAATGCTGTCATTTTCTTGCCGTCAGCCTTTAGTTTTATTTCTTCACGCTTCCACCGTTTTCAATAGGTTCCATTACAAATCTGCAGTCGAATGCTCGAACGTCTTTTTTGCGTTTCCTTAAGGTTTTGCAAAGTTGCACTTATTCGATCTTTGATTTTTGATCTGTTGTTGTATTCATGTCTTCATGAATTCATTCACTTGTTTCGTGATTTTCCTGTCAGGCTTCATAACTTCTGTTATGAGATGTTTTTCGCCATCTCCGCCTTCGTTTTATCCTCATACATAACGCTGTTATCCACTGTTTCATCAATTTTTTCTTCTTACATCCCTTGAAGAACGTCTTGTTTTTAAATTTTATTGCAAGCATTAATTCGGTATACTAGGCTAATACTACCGTTGAGATTGCTGACGCTGTTTCTGTACAGTAGTTTTTGAAAATCGGGGCTCTTTAGTTAAAGTGCAGAAGAACCCCTACACGGATAGATTATTTCTTAATAATTTCTAAGACGTTTGATAAAAGGGTTTGACTTAACAGGAATATTAATCAGACGTTTTTGTAAGGTAAGATAGGTGCTGTAGTTCTTTTTAATTAACTTAGCTGAAAAGAAACATCGCAAGGAACTATTTTATTATTATCAGCGCAATATAATAGTCCATCGGGTGGCAGATAGATTGAGAGCGTCAGACATCATTAATCTGGGTACTCGTTCCTTGACTCTGATACCCCAGATGACGATGACAAAACTACAAAACTGATTGATGCCGGTATTTAGGCTCGTATCTCACAGCCTTCTCCAAGTTTGCCTACAATAACTGATATTCTGGAGCGAGAAATAAGTCAATTTGATCGAATTGGCACTGTTCCGGGGCGTGCCACGTCGATGGTTTTTCCGTTTAAAAAATTTAGGTGTTGCGCAGTCAGAGCACTTCGGCGCATATCCTTTACGATATTTATAAAAATGAGAGGTGATAATCGCGAATTAGCGAATGTGCGCGATTTCGGAATTGCTACCTCTTGGCTCCAATAGTGTCTTATGTCGTTCTAGTTAAGATTTAAATAAACCGTGTGAACATATTCGCCGCTTTGGCCCTTCAACAGGAAACGGTGGACAATTTTATTGAGCCCGCAATCTCATTTAAACATTTTGCTTAATTAAACAATCCCAGTATTGCAGTACTGTATTTTAGACAACGTGTTCGATGAGGACGACTCGAATCAAACGATCTATGACGAAAGTTTTCGTGAGATCATTTGCGCGGCAATGGAAGGCTTCAACGGTAATTTTCACCTGTAAAATTTTCCGCTCTGCAATAGTGATGCTTTCTAAATTTCAGGAACGGTATTTGCTTATGGTCAAACAGCGTCCGGCAAAACACACACGATATCGGGTAATAAAGAAGACCCCGGATTGATACAGTACGGTATCGGCGAGATTTTCAGCATCATTGAGAACGTAAGTGCCAAAATGGGTTCAAGCGTTCTGTGAAAATATTGGCTAATATTCTGCAGTTCGAAATCATTTCCTGGGCTAACCCGTATTGCTATCCGTCTATAAGCCGCCGTAGTTGGATGAGCTCAATAGTGGGAAAGCTTCCAATCATTTACATGGTCGAAGACCTAAACGCGACGTTTGGTAGAAGAGATTTAAACCATGTCAGTGGATGGTGCCCTGCTTCTTCAACCTCTTCCTGTTTCTTTTCTGTCAAAGAGCGATTGTTGCAGTCATTAAGGTTTAGGTTCTGCTGTTCTTGGTGATTGCTTGTAGAATTTCCTGAGATCATATTTGCTACTTGCACTACATCCAGTTGTGGCCTTAAAGATGGGGCTGTACTGAAATGGGCGTAGTCTAATTGGTTGATGCACACGTACCGCATGGGAAATTGTTGAAAAATTGCTTTAATGGAACTTATGCGTTTAATACTCAGTGGGTTTTGATTTTCGTAGATGGATGTTCTTGTTAAAAGAGGTGCAGAGCTATCAACCGATCATAACCTTGTTGTTGGCACGCTGCTCTGTAAGAAATGGAGTACCATACGAAGATCCGGTGGCAGAAGCAACCGCAGAATCAAATGGGAAACATTGTCTTCGGTGGACACCAGAGCGAAATTTGCAGACAACATCGCACGACGGTTTGAACTGATCCCAGCGATGACAACTGATGTTGAAACCGAGTGGCACCTGCTTAAGAGAGGCTTACTCGAGGCTGCCGCCGAATACTGCGGATATAAACGGGTTGACCTTCCGCCTGGAGGTCAGAAAAGATCTTCATGGTGGACACGAGAGGTACAACTGGCAGTTAAAGACAAGAAAGTAGCGTTCAACAAATGGCTTGGAAACAAAGAGCCTTCTACTCGCATTGGATATGTCGAGACGCGCAAGGCGACAGCCGAAGCAGTGCCAAAAGCAAAGTTCGGTGAGATGTTGAAGTCAAATTTCTACACGGCAAACAAAGTATTCTGGCAGACCATCCGCCGACTCCGAGGTGAAAAGACGGACAGTCTCAGAGTCTTGAAGGACAGATCTGGAACCCTCTTACTAAGGATGATGACATTCTTCGGCGATGGCAGGGAGTACTTTGAGGAACTGCTTAACCCCGCGCAAATTCTCCTACAAAGGATGATGACATTCTTCAGCGATGGAGGGAGTACTTTGAGGAGCTCCTTAACCCCGCGCAACAGCAGGAAGGCTCGCCTGTAGAGTAGAAGGGTACGGATATTACTATCTGTGTAGATGAAATTGTACAGGCTGTGAAAAGCTTGAAAAATGGAAAAGCGGCCGGAATTGACGAAATCCGCCCTGAGATGCTCAAG